CTCTTATTAAATTAATGTTGTTGGAAAGTTGCCGTTTTGCGATCTCCATCTCAATCTTGATGTAAAAATTTATGGACCAAACGGTTTAATCAGGCTCAGAAGTCATTCATATCGAATGAAGCGACTTGTTTGGCTTTCAGAATACGTTACTAGACGTACCTCACATATAACAACCCTCAATTCTGTTGTACGTAAATGCGTGATGGGAGTTTGCAAAATCTATGAAAACTATTTCATTTTGAAGTTTTTGAAAAATTATGTTAATCAAAAAGCTTTTGATCGACATTTGAGGACCGTTAGTCACAAAAAGATTGTTTTGTTTTTTCAAACTGAAACGAATCCACTTTTTATTTTAAACAGCTTCCCGTATCCAACAATTTCTTTGTTTCTGACGAGAAATGCTTGATATATACTCTGAGTAGACTGGATAGCCAACAGACAACAGCGCTACATCTTAGACAACTGCAAATCTAGAAGTCAGATTTAAAAAAAACTCTCTTTTCTGAGCGAAAAACATAAAAGTTTAAGTTCATTAGATTGTTACTAGATGAGAAATGAATCATTTTGAGCTTTGTGAAATGAATCAATTCGAGTAAAAGAACACTTTCACAAAGCTCTCTTTCATTAACTTTTCCTAAAAGGTTGAAATTTAGGACTAAATTTATACTTAATGTTGTTGACTATGGTTTGAATTGGGATAACTAGCGCGCATATTGGGATAGTTTGCGAGATACTTAATCCAAATAAAAAAAGTCGTAAAATAACCTTACAAAATGAATTGGGAAAGCATTTTGTTTGTGGTGATATATAAACGAGAGGTTTTTTTTTGAAATTTTTGAAAATTTTCTGTAATAAAAACTTTTTGATCGACATTAGACGACAGTCGGAAAATCGAGGGAGTCACAAAAAGCCTCCTTTTTTTCACACCGATTTGAATCCACTTAATAACTTCGAAAAACGTCTCGTACCTAACAAAATTTTTTGTTTCTGAAGAGAAATATTTGATATGTAATCTGAATAGCCCTATACAGTCAATAGACAAAAGCTCCACATCTTAGACAATTGCAAATCTAAACATCAGAAAGAAAAATATTTTTCTTTCTGAGCGGAAAACAAAAAAAATCAATATGCTACTAAATAGTAAATGATTTTTTGTGTTTAGGTGTCAGGGGATGGTTTAACAATCAAAACGATAAAATTCGAAAAAACTTTTCCAAAAACTCTAAGAACCTTTGTTTCCGAACGGAATTATGAAAATTTAAGTTGTTTATCTTGTAACTAGATGAGAAATGAATCATTTTGTGCTTCGAGAACTGAATCATTGTCAGAAATGAATTACTTTAAAAAGCTCAAATTAATTAATTTGTTTTTAAGGTTAAAGTTAGGACTAACTTTATACCTATAACTAGCGCGCATTATGGTGATAATTCGCGCGGATATTTGACCCGAATAAAAGCAAATCGTTGAAAAAACCTTACAGAAGTAGTTGCAAAAGCTTTTTTTGTAGCGATATATAAACCGGTTTAAAATAATTCAGCGCGTAAGACAATTCAGCAACAAAGGACGTGGGAAAAAAAAGAAAAAGCAAACCAAAAAATTTTTTTTTTTTTTTAAAAACTTTTTGAAAAATTTTTTTAATCAGAAAAGTTTTGAATGTTACTAGAGGACAGTCGGAATATCCAGGGAGTCACAAAAAATCTTTTTTTTTCGACTTCAAGTGAAATTATTTTTGACATCGAACAGCTTATAGTATTCAACAAATTCTTTCTCTCTGTGTTTCTGATGAGAAAGGCTTGATATTTAATCTGAGCAGACTAGATAGCCAATTGACAACAGCTTCACATCTAACCAATTGCAAATCCAATTATCCGATCCACAAAACTTTGTTTCTGAGCGGAAAGCATAAAAGTCTGAGTTGTTACTAGATGAGAAAAGAATCCTTCTATGCTTAGGTGTCAGGGATGATTTAACAAAAACGATAATGGACCAAACGGATTAATCAGGCTCAGAAGTCATTCATATTGAATGAAGCGACTTTTTTGGCTTTCAAAATACGTTACTAGACGCACCTCACATATAACAACTCTCAATTCTGTTTTACGTAAATGCGTGATGGGAGTTTGCAAAATCTATGAAAACTATTTCACTTTTGTAGTTTTTGAAAAATTATGTTAATCAAAAAGCTTTTGATTGACATTAGAGGACCGTTAGTCACAAAAAATTGTTTTGTTTTTTCAAACTGAAACAATTCCACTTTTTTATTTTGAACAGCTTCCCGTATCCAACCATTTCTTTGTTTCTGACGAGAAATGCTTGATATATACTCTGAATAGACTAGATAGCCAACAGACAACAGCGCTGCATCTTAGACAACTGCCAATCTAGAAGTCAGATTAAAAAAAAACTCTCTTTTTTGAGCGGAAAACATAAAAGTTTAAGTTCATTGGATTGTTACTAGATGAGAAATGAATCATTTTGAGCTTTGTGAAATGAATCATTTCGAGTAAAAAAACACTTTCACAAAGCTCTCTTTCATTAACTTTCCTAAAAGGTTGAATTTTAGGACTAAAATTATACTTAATATTGTTGACTATGGTTTGAATTGGGATAACTAGCGCGCATATTGGGAGAGTTCGCGAGATATTTAACCCAATTAAAAATAAGTCGTAAAATAACCTTACAAAAAGAATTGGGAAAGCATTTTGTTTGTAGTGATAAATAAACGAGTTTAAAATATTTCAGCAGGTACTTATTTCAAAACTAAGTAAAATATTTCTGCAACATATGACGTGGTGAAAAAAAAACTAAATTGAAGTTTCTTGTTTTCTTTTTAAATTTTTGAATATTTTTGTTAATAAAATTTTTTTGATCGACATTAAACGACAGTCGGAAAACGCAGGGAGTCACAAAAAGCCTCTTTTTTAAACCAATTTGAATCCACTTAATAACATCGAACAACGTATCGTACCTAACAAATTTTTTTGTGTCTGAAGAGAAATATTTGATATGTAATCTGAATAGCCCTATATAGTCAATAGACAATAGCTCCACATCTTAGCCAATTGCAAATCTAAATATCAGATAGAAAAATATTTTTCTTTCTGAGCGGAAAACAAAAAAATTTAATTTGCTACTTAATGGTAAATGATTCTTTTTGTGCTTAGGTGTCAGGGGATGGTTTAACAATCAAAACGATAAAATTGTAAAAACTTTTCCAAAAACTCTAAAAACGTTTTTTTTTCGAGCGGAAACATGAAACTTGAAGTTGTTTAATTTGTAACTAGATGAGAAATGAATCGAGAACACTTTTTGCTTTGAGAAATGAATCATTTTACGAAATGAATTACTTTAAAAAGCTCAAATTAATTAACTTTTTCTTAAGGTTAAAGTTAGGCCTAACTTTATACCTATTTTATGTTGACTATATTTTGAATTGGGATAACTAGCGCGCATTATTGTGATAATTCGCGCGGATATTTGACCCAATTAAAAGTAAATCGTTAAAAAAAAGCTTACAGAAGTCATTGGAAAAACTGTTTTTTGTAGTGATATATAAACCGGTTTAAAATAATTCAGAACGTAAATATTTCAACACGTAAGACAATTCAGCAACATAGAACGTGGGAAAAAAACCATATTAATAAAAAGTTCTGTGTTTGTTTTGAATTGTTGAAAAATTATTTGAGGACAATCGGAATATCCTGGGTGTCACAAAAATGCCATTTTTTTCGAAATCAAGTGAAGTCACTTTATTACATCGAACAGCCTATCGTATCCACCAACAAATTCATTGTTTCTGACAAGAAATGCTTGTTATCTAATCTGAGTTGACTAGATAGCCTATAGACAACAGCTTGACATCTTAGCCAATTGCAAATCCAAATATCAGATCCAAAATTTTTGCTTTCTGAGAGGAAAATATAAAAGTCAGGGGATGGTTTAACAATCAAAATTAAAAATCTGGATATTTTAATAGTTTTCAAAGCCATCATTTGAAGTCCATTGCTGGTGTTCTTCTTCGTAACTCATTGTTATTGAGAGTGTAAGATGGCAATACAATTATAACTACAAATGTTACACTAACCAATGTTTTTTGATGACTCGCGTTGCAAACAACACTTTTTAGCTGAACTTAACACTTTTTGATATCTATACAATCGTTCCTTTGTTTCGTTATAAACTAAAAAATCTTGAGGTGTTTATGTGTTTTCGAAGCAACATTGACGGATTGTTGAACCTCCTTTTTCAATTAAAACAGTTAGCTCAAGGCTCAAAAGCAGCAAGAGTTTATGTGAACCAAAAACGGTTTAAATTACTTTTAGCTAAGAAAAACAGGCTCGTATTGAGGGGAAGGGGAGTAGAGTAGTTCAATACCTTCATTTTAAAAGGGACCATTTGAACGCTTAAGTATCAGCAACTCAATTCGCTGTCCAAGGATTATGTTTCTGAAAACGGATTTAGCATTGTGCATTCATGAACTCTTGAATTCGCTCATTTTGAGAGTTCTATTGTGCAGCAAATAAAAGATCCTTTCTTAGTGTTTCGCTCTGTTTAGGCGGCTCTCCTGGTCTGAGTCAGCAGCTCATAATCCGCATGGCTAAACTGCCAAAAATAATTTCAAAAGTGGTTGAAAATAGGTATTGGCCTAACTTATCAAAAATTTAATTGCGGTTATGTGACTTTTGCCTAATCTATTTTTTTGGCGTTTGGGAAGAGCTCAGAAATCCTCAATCAGCCACTGATACCCATAGCTTATACTTTCTGTTTCTGCCATTGTTTTCGGGTTTAAAGGGCTGAAAAAATGCAGAAAAAACTGTCCTCGAAATATGATTAAATCTGAATATCCATCTGTCATCCAAAAGTTGTGCTCTGAGTTAAAATTTCGATATAGGTGAATTTTGCGCCAGACATTTAACTGGCTTCCTTCATTCAAGCCATTGCAAGCCACTCTGGCGTGGCAATGCCAAAAAAAAGTGAAGTATGAGAATGTGGTCACTCACTGATGACATAGCCGGCGTTGTTGATAAGAATGTCAATAGGAGGATTATCTGAAACAGAAAATCCAAATTCAAAAATTTGAGGCCAGTGCTTGATCGGATGTCTATGTTTTCTGAAACGGATAAATTGACCGTAAAAAGGAGCACAGTTATAATAAAAAAATCTTTTTCATTATGAGGCCATGGCATCCATTATTTTCAGACTGTATAAGAAAATGGCGGGATTGGTTAATTACTCGATCAATAATTTGACACTAATCACTCGCCTCTGAAGACCTTCTGCATGACACTCTGCAATTCGGGTAGCTTAGACACGTCGCACTTGTAGAACACGGCAGTGGTGTGAGAGTGTTCGGAGGTGGACAGATCTCGGATGAAGCTGAGAGTGGCGTCCCTGGATACTCCCAGGATGATGACCCTGGAGAGACGCAGTTTGGCCATGCGAATTATGAGCTGCTGACCAAGGCCACGAGAGCCGCCTATAAAAAGCATAAACACTACTTTTTCGGATGAAATCATCATGAAATAAACATTGGGTTCTTTTGTTGACTTTTTCATGAACTCAAAAGTGCCAACGGTTTCATTCGTGGGAAACACTCATTCGTCCAAAAATTAGCAATCTATTCATTTCAAGAATCAAAAATTATTGCCTTGATAGTTTTCGTTTGGGCACATTGTAGAACTTTTTTATATCATTCAAGAGGTATTGTTGTCCTGAGCTGAAATTTGCAAAGATCATCAAAAATTGATCATTTTTCGTAGAAGTACGGGGATTTAAGAGTTGGCTTTTTAGCCAATTTGGGATAATTAATGCGCGATATATTTAGCGCTATTAACGCGTAAGCGGAGATTTATTCCGCCTTAAAAATTGTTTCAAATTGGTTGAAGGAAGCTTTTTTGCCGTTATTGATCTGTTACTAGGAGGGAACGCTATCACTTTGTACTTTATATGGCGTGCGGGGTGATGAATATCCCAAAAACTCTCAAACTTAAAAAATAAAACATTTTAATTATTACATAGAACATCAGAGCAGTGTTGTTTTAATTGACAATTTTGACAAATAACTGTTACATTATGAAAGAAGCTCTGAGTTTAAGAATAAGCAACCACTAATTGCAAGGACAAAACACTAAAGGTTCTTGTTCAATGGTTACTTTTTCTACCATGTTGGTTCCATACTGTAAATCCTGTGAGGGTTGTGACTACGGCAACAAACAAATAGATTTGCCATTCCAGAGTCGGAATGTCAATGACTTTAATCTCCCTTTACTGCTCGTTCATTTTGCTCTAAAAATCTTTTTACATTATTTTACATTATAGATTTATATCTGCACCTTGTTAGTGAGATCAGTTTAAGTTGTGATTGTTGTTAATCGATTTTGCAAAAGCGTTTTATTAGTTTCGGATATTTTAAAGAGTCGCTCACCCTAGAGCTACTCTCGTCAAAAAATTAGTCCATGTCTTAAGCGTGGTGTAGCGCGCGTGGTGAAGCCGGCTATAGAGCATGCTCAGGACGTCTTTTACTGGTGGGTTGGGCCAGGTGGGAGCGTAAATTTACCGTCTGTTTGAGCAAAGTATTTTTTCGTGTTCAACCCTTTTTTTTATCAGGCGTTTTTCTCTTCCTGTTCTTTGGTCATGTCCTTTTTTCAAAAACAGGTTGTTGTGATTTGTGCGGTTTTTTTTTAGTAATTTTATGTTTCAAGTGGTTTTAATGAAACTTTAAAGGGGTTCTAAAGGAATAATTTATCCAGTTTTTGTCGGTGTTTAATCTAGTTTGGGTACCATGAGACTTTCTCATACATGCGGTTCGTTTTGTGGCATAAGTATGCTACATTGGTTACTTTTAGCTAATTTTTAATTCCATTCAACCGCGTTAAAGGAAAGTTTGGAATACGTGAAAGCAAGTTAGAGCTCTTATCAGTTAATTTGTTGGGCATGAAATTCAGATTTTAAAGAACTCTACGGTGGCGAGTTACTCGAATTGGGCGAAAAGAGTGCAGGAGATGTGGGCAAGCGAGTTTAGAAAAACTAATTTTATTAATAGAATCACACATAAGGTTAGTAACAATAATTTATTTTTCATTATCAATTTTACCACTTTGTACTGTGAATTTACAACATTGTTATTAATTTCTCGCCATGTTATTAAACTTATTTCACTGATATAGCTTATGACACATAACTAAATTATTAAATTGAAAGTTAAATAGAATTTGATTTTTCTTTTTGTTTTTATTTTGTTCTTTTTTAGAGGAATGACTGGTGCAATCTAAAAAAGGCGAAGCAAACATGTAAAAATGGCGAGTGTTTTATTTAGTTGTATTAGTGATAACTTGTATTCAAAATTACGAAGGCTATCGGTTGGGAAAAAAACCATGGCCGAAAGTAGTTTTGATAGAGTCGGAGGTTGATAAAAGCTTAGCAAGCACGCGAACTACGGTTTCAGTGCGTAAGATTGGCAAATGAAGCTCAAGGGCGCGGATGATATTGACTTCTTTGGTGACTGCGGTAATTTCATAGTTAGAGTTTTGGATGAAATTGTATAAAATTGGACGATTCAAATTATGAATATTTTCTAAGAGGGCGGTTTCAACGGTTGGATGAACTCATGCTTGGATAATGATGGGGCGGGAGTCTTCAAGCGGGAAGTTGTTAGTGAGGGGGCGAAAGATGGACATTCGTCTTACGGGGTCGTGGTTACGGAAGATGTCGTGAAGCTTGGTTGCTTTTATGCAATATGTGAAATTTAGAGTGTAAGGTGATGTATATTTAGAGTTAAAAAACATGAAGAGGTAGTGGGGGTTACGGGATTGTGAACTGTGAAAGATAGTATCGTTCGATGAAAACTTAGTAAATGTAAGTGTGTTACAATTTAGTTTCCAATATAAATTCATGAGAACAGTTAAGATGGGAAGATCTCGTTCTTTCGGTGTTACAAAAAGTTAAAGGTTAGCGCAAAGTGATCAAAATTACGGAAAAATGGTTCGGAAACTTTTGTATTCTTTTTGCGTGGTCTATGGTATGATTTTTTTGGTGCTATCAAGGTGAAAACTGTATTAGGTATTGAAGAAAAGTTTTTCAGTTAGTTTTGAATTTAAATTAGGGCCAGTGTCATTTGGTGAGTCTTCCACATATTGGACGACAGCATGATTCTGTTGAATAATAGACCATCATTTAGCGTTTTGTGCAAAGAACCGGTTAAGTGTTTGATTTAAACCTATATTTGAGACCTGAATTAGGTGGAGTGCGTTAGTTAATTGGTTAATAATTGAGTCGCAGAGTTCATCGTCGTCTGCATTTTTTCTGAGGGGTACTTTTAGATGGTTAGTGAAGTTATAATTTGATATTCATGAAAAAGTTGGAAATAGGGAACGTTCATTACCTCATTTGGCTCGTTGGGCTGAGTTTTCTCCCTTGAAATAGGTGTATGGGGGAAGAAGAGAAGGTTTTCCACTAAAATGCGGTTGTATTAGTAAGACGTGGGTAATTATAGAGGAGTCGAAATAATGATGGGCAATTAATGAGGAATTTTAGTGTAGTAATTGGGTCTTTAAGTTGCATAAAAATTCTTTTTGCTCGTGTGGGGGCAATGTGGACAGATGGAACGGAGAATTCGGAGGTTGAGGCGGAGTGGGTTAGTTGATGAATAGTTAATGAGTTAGTGGTGTTATCAATCTGTTAATGGTGAGTAATGAAATCATCTAAATCATGCTAGCTGGTCATCTGTGATGAGAGTTGGGACATCGGGTGCATTATTTGAAAATCGGCAAAGGATAAAGCTAGCGTCATTGTGTGAGGAGGCGGAGGTATAGTTTTCAACAGGGGTAGGGCGAGTTATAGATTGGAAAAATGGTTGAAAAAATTTAGTGGGACTGGGCTCGGAGTCTAAAAATTCATCAGGTGTTTCGACCTCTGAGTTTTTAAAATTAGAAATAGTATAAGAAATAGTTTGCTTTGAATCTTCAGAGTCTATGCATGGTGAGTTAGAAGAACAACTGGGTAGGTCGTAAGAGGTGAGGTTTGAAATAGTAATGGCACAATCGTGGCAATGGAGATTAGATGAAGAGGAAAAAGAACAGTTGAGGGATCGAACTTGGCGGCTGATCGTGGGCTAAAAACATGATTGTTTTGTGAATTAAAATCTGATGTGTGCGGTTGTTCTACAACTTGTTCGTATGTATCGTCGATGGTGGTTTGTTGAAGTGCCTTATAAAATATAGGGCAACGTTGTATATTACTATTATGTAACATTCTTTCGGCGATCGAAAGAGGTTGATTGTTTTGTTAACTGTGTAGTGCAATAATGCTGTAGGTGTAGTTTTTGTATTATCTTTTTTAGTATTGTATGCATTTGGTTTTGCAGATAATTTTTACTATTGTTTCCGCTAATTTGTGCGTCAAGAGGAATTTTGTTACTAGGGGTGAAAAAATTCCAAAAAAATTTGCGAGTAGTTTTTGTGCTACGCTTGTTTGTCTATTGACTTATGCGTGTTCTGCGCTTGTTTTATAAGTTCCTTTTAGAAGGTGAGTAGGAAAATCTTTTAAAGTTAAAAACTATGTAATATATAGTCAATCTTTTAAAGAAACAATATGGCTATCCTAGGAACGCTAGGAGTTCATTTGTGATATTTAAAAAACTAAAAATATTAATTTGTGAATAATTTTGTGGGCGATATTTTTCTCCAACTAGGTAAACATAATCTTTTTTGTCCTTAATATATCCACTATAGACTTTCCGATAGATGTCTGAAAAACTTGCAGTCTCAGGTAGTTTGCGGAGATTCTGATCCATTGATTGTCTTTGGATTGAATCCGTTTTAGTGAGAGGTTCTAAAAATTGCTCGAACGTGATGTTTGAACGTGATGTTGTTTATGTGATTTAGACTATATGCCTATAGGTTGTAGATCTAAATTTGGGTTGCGAGTGATTGCACGTATGTTTTCAGGCGAGAATTTTTTCAAAGGTGGTGTTAAAGTAGGGTATAATGTTTATCTTCGTTTGCGTTAAACTGTCCTTTAGTATGACTGTTTTCCACGTGGGATAGCTGTATCCCAAAGGTATGTGCGGGTTGATAAATTGTCAGCAAAATGTACTTTTTTAAATATTAAAAATAGGTATGCGTTGGTAGCATCTCTTGTCTTCAAATACATAGAGTTGTGAGAACAATTTAGTGCAAGTATACTACCAAAGAAAATGTCCTTTTCCTTCATAATCAATGAAGTTAGAGCCGTTCCCTGATAAGAGGTATACTGCATAATGAACTTTGAGAACTGCAAAATCGAGACTTTATAAAACTTGTGTTCGTTCTAGTTCTTATAAATGGTGTAGTGTTTCGAGTTCTGAAAGTGACATTTCTTGAAAAAATCTGCTAATTGTGTAATTTATTTTCATATCGAGGTGAATTTCAGAGTGAATTGCGCCAAAATTGCTTTATTTATTAGTGATAATTCTTGTAGTGTAATAGTTTCTTGGTTTTC